GAGAATTTAAGGAGACTCTAGTAGTGAATATAGAAGCCATTATGCCCAGGTTGTTAGGATCTTAGGAAATGATTTTTATAGTATTGGCTTTCCTATAGTCATTTTTGAGGAATAATGAATTAGAATTGGGTCTTAGTTAAGGTGATAGTCCAAAGCACTAGGTGTTTAGGTTCCTAGAGGAGTAAGGAGTCTCCTCATTAATGATGTTTGATAAAAAGGGAGGAGACTGCAGAGCATTTTAAAAAACCGTGACAGGTCAGAGATTTTACTCTACTTGTATGCTAACAAGTCAGTCTGCCACAATTTCAGGGATGCTGGCAGAAGACACAAGATTCCTGGGTCAGAGACAAAGAACTGTTATTCACAGCACAGCAAGCAGTATGAGCTTTATGCTCGAATTGCTTTCCCTTGCCCTCCAACTCCCACAGGGTGACACCAGGGTGGGCCCAGGCGGTTGCTACACACACAGTGGGTTTGTGTCACAGCTGGGAAACCCAGGCTTAGAGAATCCAAATCTTTTATAATGGACTGAAAGCAAACCTATCTGACATCTGCCCTAGAGGGAGATAAAATTTGTCTTCAACGGAAACAAACCTACTATCTGCTCTGGAGGGAGACACTGTATCTTCAAGGCTGTTCACTAGAAGAAACATCTTGGAAAAGATAATCCAGAACAAAGGTCATCAATGCCTGTGCCCACAAAATATGCACAGATATAATAAACCATAGAGAATTCCCTCTCAATAAGTTTACGCTAGCCATCGAGGAATAGTCTTGCATAAAGGTGTAGTAGAGATAATTAATTTACTTAGTGCTCGTTTTAATCTGTCGCATCTCCAGACACTTCTGGGTAAATTAAGTCAACACAACAACACAGGTAAGCACTGATGCTGAAAATTGAAATCAGTGAGCATTCACCATCCACTGAATGACCAACTCTGTTGGAAACGTGAAATAGAAGGTACACCCTATGCCTTTCATTCTACACAAAGATAAGTAGCTTACACAGAGCCCATTGGACTGCATGCAGCCCTTCTAGCTCCTTAATACTACCTGTGATCTAATTTCAGGATGAAAGATTAGAAAGTTGCCTCTGAATTGTTATTTCTCAGACATGCCCGTATATTACCACTTTAGTGTCTAAAAAGCATTACCAAATTTCTCCTTGATATTCTTTCACTCAGGAAAATAGGTAATTGTAAGTTGTAAGAAAACACATTTTTCTATGTAATTCAATAAAGCTATTTTCCTTTTCAATGAAAAAAATCACATAAAAGATTTTTTTCCCCTGAGTTTCATCTCATAGACCAAAAAATTTTTAAAAATCAAAACAACTACTCACTGCTAATCACATGTAAGTAAGAATTAATGGTTCTGTGAACTGGGAGATTCTATGTGAACTATCAACCTCACATGATTCAATCACTAACCAAATATAAATATGTATATATGTGTATATATATATGTATATATATACACACACACACGCGCGCACACACACATGCATATATATATATATTCTTTTTCAAATTCTTTTCCATTATATATTATTATAAGATAGTGAATATAGTTCCTATGCTATACAGTAGGTCCTTGTTGTTTATCTATTTTATATATAGTAATTGTATATCTTGCTAATCCCAAACTACTAATTTATCCCTCCCCCTGCTTTCCCCTTTGGTAACTATGGTTTGTTTTCTATTCCTATGAGTGATCTAGCATAATATTTTGATAAGCGTTGTCAGATGGCAACCATTAAATTAAGCAAAGAGATTTATTTTTTCATTCCTCTCTACTTTATGTCATATTTGTTCTTTCCATCTTTTTAGTCTATAAACAACGATAGCATTAAAGAATTTTAATGACATGGCATCCATAATGTCGTTATGCTATAAAATTTTTTCATGTCTGCATATTATTTATGTAAAATCATAAATACATACTGTTTGGTATTCTGTTCTCTTCACTTCTATACATATATTCATCTTTCTTACATTGTCTTTGTAATAACTTTTTATAAGGATACATGAAATTCAGTTGTATTGTAGTTCTCTTCTGGTTATACTTCTATAGCTCTAAAAATTCCTTCTGTGTCTTCTTTGCACTTCTGCTTCTCCTGACTGCCTATTAAAAACTGGGATCCTCAGGAATTGCATCCTGTCCCCTTCCTTCTCATACATGATTATCTCAGGCTAACCTCACCCATCTTCCAACAGAACTCTAATCCTTAGCTCCAACCCAGACTTCAATTCTTGGTTCCAGATTCATATTTCCAACTTCTTACTGGATTTCTCTACTTACATATTCCTCAAAAAACAAAAATAAAAAATTTCAAGCCTGGTTATCCCCTGTCATCTAGACCCCTTCCCTGCCCCCTGATCTCACCCTCCTAACCAGGTTTACTATTAATACCTTTAAAATACCCATCTTCTCTATTCACTCTGCTAACCCTTTAGTTCAGTCTTTTGTCTCTTAGATGGTTACCCTACACTCCTAAACATCTCCCTGCCTTCTGTCATGTAATGCTCCATAGATGCTCCATAGTGCTGTCTGACAAGTCTTTCTAAGTATAAATCTGATCAAGTCACTTCCTATATTGCTTATAGCTGTGCTGCCCAATACAATAGCCACGAGCCACATATAGCTATTGAGCGCTTGAAATGTAGCTAATCTGAAGTGAAATATGCCGAAATAAAAACACATTAGATTTCTAAGACTTGATCTGTTAAAAAGAATGCAAGATACATAATTTTTTGTATCTATTGAGTTATTTATTGCATATTCAAATTAATTTCACCTGTTTCTTTTTTTAGTTTTTGACTATGGCTACTAGAAAACTTAAAATTATTTCTGTGGCTCCATTTGTGGCCTGCATTATATATCTACTGGAGAGTGTTGTCTTATAAGATAGTGCTCAAGCCCATATCATAGTGTTAAAAAACAAAATTCAACTGAGTACACTTTAAAAACCTAATTGACTTTATTCAGTGAATCATGAATGGGGGAACATCTCATCTAGCAAATAGGAGCTCCAAAGAGCTATACAAAATGGACGATTTTTATAGGCAGAGGGAGGTAGACAAGGAAGTTATTCTAGCAAAGAGTGGATTGTTCAAGCAAGATCACCTTCTTTTGTGGGACAGTGGGGAGTCTATCCGGCAGATTTCCTTACTAGTATTGACCAGAAAATTCTAGACTGAGTGGTTAAGATGACATTCCTGGGAGAGGCTGAAACTGCGGTTAGGTTAGGTATTAAGTCTCCATTTGGTGATGTGAGTCATAGCACAGGTGACTCCCTTTTGGGCCCATCGTCTCTTTTTTAACAATAGCATTATGATGTTTCATCATCTGGCCACCACATGCCTAGTCCATTTCACCTTCTTCTAGCTGTCATGCAAAGATTGATCTGGGTTTCTGCCTGGTCCCCTCCACATGCCAGCTGTGTGATCTGGAGCAAGATGCTTAAAGTTTCAGTATCCCCCGCTGAAAAAATAAGATAATGCCTGCTTCAGTATGTCATTGGGAGGATTAAAAGATACAACCAATGTAAAGTGCCTGCTGCGTAAAATTTAATTCTCCCAGATACATTCTAGCCATGCCAAACTTCTTTCAGTTCCTCTTTTCTTTCTATTGTAAAGGGCAGGTGATGATAGTTCACATGAGTCTACAGCCTTAATATTCCTAAAAGTGCACAATCCTCTTTCCCTGTTTAGTCACTGGGGGGTCTACTTCCTGTTTTCACCAAATTGTCTACCTGAGAACCTCTGTGTTTCCTTTTCTTTTTTTTTAATTCAAAATCCTTTCCTAAAGAATTCATTTCAAGAGAATAAATGATTGTAACATTGAAGAAATCTCATGTCAAATGAAGAGCATAATCAAAGATTATAGCTTATTCTTGCCCCATAAGAGAATATTTTTTCCTGTCATCTGATACCCCACAGTCAATTCTTTACACAAAGTAGGATTTTAATTTCGCTTTGGAATAACATCAGAAATAATTTCTCTCTCTCGTTCATCCCTTTTTCTTCTCTTAATCCTCCTGCCTACAAATGGTCTCTATTGCAGATCCACACACTTAGCTACCACTCTATTCACCACCTGGTGAGCGTCCTTTTCATCAGCGAGGCCAGTTGAGAAGAGGGCCCTCAGCTCACAGTGGGTTATTCACAGCACAGTAGAGAGTTTCTAGCAATGGACCCCTTGCTCTAACAGATCTTAAAAGTGTTTTTGATGGCCAGAATTGTCAAAGGTAAGACTAGGGTGAAATGTTTTCATTTCATTTCCATTAGGAATTTCCATGATCATTTTTTGAATACTCCATTCGTGGATTCTTAATGGTTCCTTCCCATAGGAACAGCTTAGAAACACAACCGCATTCTAAAAGGGGTGATGAGACTCTGGTGAATGTCCCTCAGATGTAAAATGTGGCCTTTCAGATGATGTGGTCACCTTTTCCTTCTACAATGTCAGCATTTCAAAATGGGTAAAGGATATGGATTAGGTACGAATTGAATGCAAATGTGTTTTGCAAATAGTGTCTTTTAAGATAATCGCAGATGATGGTTGAATGCTGAAGGTATTAATACAATCAGTATTTAACCTTGTGTAACTCCGCTTCATCAAATCACGCCCTGTGCATTGATTGCATTAAGCCGGGTCAGTGGTTTCTTGCTGAGGAATATCTTAGAAGAATCTTAACAGGAAGGCAGCAGTAGCTGATCAGCTACTGTTTATTTGCATACTGAGCGTGTCATCAATAATACAAAAGACAAGGTCTTTAAGTTGAAAGAACAGTGGGATTGGCATGAATTTTGCTTAATGGTGCGTAATAAGCAAAGTAGTCTGTGGTGCCAGAAATTGACAGGATCCATTATGTTAAAACAGATATATGTCTTTAATTTAGAGGTATTATGTAAATCTGACAGGAGTTTTTCCCTTTATTTTCCCGTAGTTTAACTTTAATTGCTCCAAGATTAATTCCGATTTCTCCCTTCCTCCAGAGGGTGATGAGACTGGCGTGATGGATAATCTTCTAGAAGCCCTGCAATCAGGTGCAGCGTTCCGAGATCGCAGAAAGCGGATTCCGAGGAATCCAGGTAAAACCCACTCCAGCTCACATGGTATTATAAAATGTAAATGTTCAGCGTCAAGTACCAAAAACAACAACAACAGCAAAACAAAACCCCAAACCTTCCTCGCAATGATTTTTTTTTAACAGTTGATCTCAGTTCATGTGTGAAGTCTCAGCAGGCTTCTATATCTACGTGATCACAAGTTTCAACTTGGTAAAAAGTAGCTTCAAATAACTGTAGACTTTGCAAAAAAAAATTAGAAACAAGGATTCCTGCTGTGTTTAATATTAAATATTTTCAATTGTTACTTTATGAGCATGTGGTTTGGGTAGAAGGTGGTTTAAAACCATATGTGTAATTAAATCATTACAAGTAATTGGCCCTCAGGGTGGTGTGTGAGCTACTTACAGGTAAGGAAACTGAGGTGATGCTCCTTTGCAGAGGCCATTTTGGCTTTGCAGTACCGTCCGTTCTCCATTCCCCAGGTTACTAAAGAGAGGAGAGGCACAGATAATCCAAGGTCCCCAAAAGTCCCAAAGCATTGGAACCCCTTTTTTGTGTGTCATTGATTAGTAACAAAACCACAGTATGAAAATTGATCTCAGGGAGAGAAAAAACGTAAAAGAAGCAAAACAAACCCCTCGCTCAAGTGGAACCAGAAAGTCGTCCATCTTTCCTGTTCATGCCCTATGGCTGAAGTGAATAGTGGCCCCTCCCAGAATCATCCAAGTAAGCTGAGCTATCCACCTCCTTTAAGGAAATTCTTATCTTTTTAGTTCCTATCTTTCTTGAAGTAGAGGGAGAAATAAGGTGTGTTGATTGTAAAAGTTCTCATCGTGGGCTGTAGAGCTATGTGGAGAAGTAAATGAAAAAATGAAAATTAAGAGTAAATATGAGCACTCTACTTAGTTTAGATTAATAAGATTTGCCTTGAATAGCCTATAATTCAGAAATATTCTGTGTTTGGAATAGAAACGATCACATTTCATTAAAATGGAAATTGGTACCTCTCAAAACCATTGTACGCCAACAAACCAGTGAAAGAAATGGAAGACCAGTACAGAATTGTCCAGGAAAGCTTTTGGCAGTGGTGCAGTTCATGGCGAAAGATAATGTAAATAATCTTCATCTTTTTCACATTTGAGTGAATCTTGATGGGTAGATTCGTCTGAAGGTTAGATTTGGTGGAGAGGAGAAAAGTGTTCTGGACTGCTTTATATGTACGAAGACATTGGAGATGGCCTCCAGAAAGAGTAGACTAGGGGAAAGAAAATTAAAACCTATATTTATATGTTCACATTAACTTTTTAAGGTGATGCTGTATTGCAGAATGTTAGGAGCACTACTCATCTGTAACTATGAGGCAGCCAATCCGTCTGATCTCAGTCTTGATCTGTAAAATGAGAATGTTCAACCATGTTATCAGAGGCCCCTTCCACCTTTTAAGGAAAATAGAAACCTTCCCTGCTCTTTCTTGAACAATCAGAGCTTTGATAGTCAGTGAAAAGCAAACTGAAATAATTATTCTATCAATTCAGTTCTCTGTTCAGCAGCTGATAAGTAAAAGCATGTTATTCTGTACCATAAAAGAACTGCCATCATCTTTCTAGGCTGTTTATTTTAAAAAGACATTTGGTAAGGCCCCTGTCTGATTAGTCTCACACCTCACGCTGACTCTCGAAAGACTGTACCGAGAGAGATCATTCCATGGGGTTTCTGTAAGTTTGGTACTCAAGGGAATATAGTGTTGTCAACTGTGAAACCAAGAATATATTCATAAATGGCATCATTTTCCAGTGCTGATTCCAAATGCTCTAAATTGGGATCTCTTTTGATTTGTAGTTGGAGGGCCTCCATGAACACATAAGGGCAAAAATATCAGCTCATTTAGCCCTGGCAGTCATTCCAGGTGACAGCAGCCAATGCAAATGTCCAGCGGTAAGAAAAAACTAGAAGACAGACTGTGGCAAGGATTGGTAAAGCATCTTGAACATCAGTAGAAGAGCTTGAAAGGGAGGGTGAGGGGAAGGCAGGCACAGAAGCTCTCCCGTCTGCTTCCCTCCTTCTAAAAGCAGCAGAAGCCAGGGCTTTTCCTGATTTCCTTCCTGTTTCTGCCTTTCTTAGCTGAATCATCTTTTATTGCTGGTCCCCTTTTCTTTTCACTTTCTCAGGCACCTTATTCAGTCCCTTTCCAAGATCCCATTGACTTTCTCTTGCCACACTTTCCCTCTTCAACCCCAGCATCCTTGTTCCTGTTCCCAAACCTCTACTTCACCATGATGAGATAAAAGCAGAAAAAACAAATTATAAAGAAAGCTTTTTTTCCCAAGGAAAGTAAAATTAGAGGAAATAGCCAAACAATCTGAGATCAGAGTCAACCGCAAACAGCAAAGATGTACTGCGCCACTCACCAACCCCATTATCATTGCTTACAGGTGGCAACTATGGCATGTAGAATACGTAGCTCTACAATTGTGCTTCTAATTGCAGTGTTTTCCATTCCATAGTTAAACACAGTGAGATAAGAGTCTAAATTCTTCATTAGAAAATCAAAATGTTAATCAATGCTATGATTAGTTGCCTGAATTGCGAATCTTCCACTGTGAATCGATGTTCCCTCCCCACAAAGAACCCACATTAGTTAATTCAGAAGGAGCTCCCAAAGATTGCCTCCAGCCCATTCAACCTGAGTACATTGTTTCAGTTAAGGGCACCAAAAGCTATTCTAAGGGAGGCTATCTTATCAGCAGTAATATTGGAAGCAGTAGTACCTGGTATCATGCAGGCTCCAACCAGTCAGAATGTGCACGGGTAATAAGTAGCCACTGTTAGCTGTGCAGGCGCCGACGGGCTGGGTATGAACCCAGGTTACAGCTTTGCTAATGTCAAACTCAGAGATTAGGAAATGAGCCCCTAATCATTCATTCGTTTATTGGACATCTCTTCTGTGAAAAGTACTATGCTAGACATAATGGAAGATGCAGAAATAATAAAGGTAAGATTTCCTTAGTTATAAGACCCTTGTGTCTTACAGGAAAGATAAAAAATAGAGAAAGACTACAGGATAAGGCAGACAATAAGAGGTAATATACAAGAGGTATTAATAACATACTATGTGAGTTCTGAGGAGGGAAATCTCATGCCTTATTCGTGTGTCAGAGAAAAGTCATGGAGAAAAAGGCTTTGAAGGATGAGTATGGGTTTCAACAGTAATAGTTGGAGGTGGGGATAGTGGACATTTTAGTCAAATGAAACGTCATTTGGAGTTTAGAAACTCCAAAGCATTTTGGGAGAATGGCCCATAGTATAGCTAGTAAGAAAACAGATTGTATAAAGTATAAAATTATGGAGATAGTGCTGGAAAAGTAGGTTGGTGCTACAGCATAGAGTGCTTGAATAAGAGACTGAGGTGTTAGCATATGTTTCTTTAGGCAATGGGGATATAGTGAAGGTTTTTAAGCAGTGGAGGAACATGATCGAAGCTATATATTAAGACATATAATCTCTAGGTGTGTGGATGATGAATTAGAATTCGACCATCATATTCTTTTTTTTCTATTTTACATTTTTTATTGAATAATAGTCATTTTACAATGTTGTGTCAAATTCTAGTGTAGAGCACAATTTTTCAGTTATACATGAACATGTATGTATATTCATTGTCACTTTTTTTTTCTCTAAGAGCTACCACAAAATCTTGTATATATTTCCCTGTGCTATGCAATATAATCTTGTTTATCTGTTCTGCATTTTGAAATCCCAGTCTGTCCCTTCCCACCCCCCACCCCCTTGGCAACCACAGGTTTGTATTCTATGTCTATGAGTCTGTTTCTGTTTTATATTTCTTTTTTTTTTTTAGATTCCTCATATGAGTGATCTCATATGGTATTTTTCTTTCTCTTTCTGGCTTACTTCACTTAGAATGTCGACTGTCATATTCTTAATCAAAGGAGATCATTTAGGGGAAGAGGAGTAACCAAGATTCAAAGAGAATCCTAGGGTTTTGACTTTAATTAGATGGGAGGACAGTTAGGTTATGAGAAAAAAAACTATTAAGATCAGGAAAAGGAATGGTGATAGAAGACAAATTCAGTTTGGGGCAAGTGAAACTAAAAGTGGTTGCAGAGCATTGCAGTCAGGATGTCTAGAAGTTTCTTGGAAATACGAGTATAGATTGCATTGGAAGATGGTTGAGTCTGTGAGATTTCTGGGTATAGTTTGGAAATGGAAGAGATTATTAGAGGGATTATTAAGAGAAAAGAGATCTAAAACCAGAACCTTGAAAATGCCTCCCCTTAGGGGCTAAAAGAACTAGCAGAGAAGATAGACAAGGAACAGTTAGTTGGGTAGGAGTGGGAAGAATCAAGACATTATCGTTCCAAAAGCAAAGGTAGGCAGAAAAGGTGGGCATTTTCGCCAGCCACATATGGTACCGTGAAATCCAAAAGGATCAAGGCCCATGATTTGCCATTTGGGAGCATCCTGGTAACTCTTAAGAGCATCTTTCCAGTAGTGGAATGGAACTGAGAGCCAGAATGCAGGAACTAAGCAGCAAGTAGCTGACGAGGCTATAGGGATGGATAATATTCATTCAACAATTAAACAGTTCTATTGAATGCCCCTTGGGTGTCCTGTGCTAGGTTAGGTACTGAGGATGCAACTCCAAACAGGACACTTGCCTCAAGGAGCTCACAGACCATTTGGGAAGACATGAATATGAATATAATCCACGTGATAAGAATGCAATGCAGCCTTATATGTACTGTCATGAGATAGGAGCCGTGTGCTTGTGCAGCTCCGGACATAGCGTAACTCCCCCCACCCCCTCGCCTCTGGCCGTTGAGTTCCCTAGAATGTGGACTGTGCTTTCTAGAAGTTCAGTGGGTGAAAGGAGCATCTCAGTTTTCCTTAATAACCTAGTATGGATCTATCTTCTGTGAATTTTGCTAAATCTTCCTGGACCCTCTCTGTTGCAGCCTTTGTTAGCACTTACAGTAATAAGTTCCATATGTTTACAATCAACT